TTTGAACCCGACATCGGCATATCGAGTTCTCCTGTCGGGTTTTGGGCAACTTGACGTTATCTTGGCCCTCTGCATAGCAGGTAGACATCGACATTGCAAGTCCAGCCGAAAATCCCCTTGTAGTCTAAACTAAAGAGAAGCAAGCAGCCTGCACCCGTGCCGTATCCCAGACGAAGGATGCAAGTAACGAAGTTATTTGTCGACCTGGATGTATGGAATAAAATGTATCCAAAGGTTCATCAGCGTTTTAACTGCAGAAGCCACCTACCTGCCCGTCTCCTACATCAGCAAGGGTACCGAGTCTTGGCTGTTAACCTTCATCCCAAGTGTAACCCTAGCGTTGGGATTGTGGTACGTACTCCGACTCCCCCTCCGGAGATCCATCTTTGGCCGACAGTGGTAACCACGGTTTGTGTATCAGCCCACGGCGGGCACAAAGGCCCAGTTTCACGTCCCTTCACGAGTTATCACCGATCAACCACGATGAGGTCCCGATTAGGGCAACTGCCCAACTCCCACTGGAGCCTTTATTTCAAGTTGCTTACCCTAATTCCACACCTGATCTCAAGGATTATCAAGGTATCACTCCATCAATGTGGTTGCCGGGGGTATGAGTGCGCGAATAGGTAAATTTAGCGCCACTGAAGCTGGATTGGATGGTCGTCTAAGACCGGTATCGAGGCGCGCGGACAATTGCGAACTTCTGCTGCATTTGTGTGCTGACTACAGACTTGCTTTGCACTACTAACTTTCGAAACTACCGAACCCGCTTCTTGATATTTTGCCCCGCATGCGAGCCAGCCATAGAGACAGACCGCGTTGCCAATAGCTATAGGTGGCGTGTCAATTAATGGCTGTCGCCACCTATGTGGATTCGGATCACGCACTTGTTCATCTTTACTTCTCTTTGCGCTTTTCAGTGGCGCGCAAAATTCGCACACCCCTTGACCATTGGGATGCTCTCGAACTCTTACGTGAAGCAAACCTGCCTAGACCACCTGCAGGAGTCTCTTTGGGACAACACGTCTTCTGATGTTGACCCTTACTGTAAGGTGCTGTCCGCAACCCTGCAAGATGCTAAGCGCTCCACTTGTGGAATGGTTCAGCCAACCAGACGTAGGCACTGGATCTTAAGCAACACGCTGGAATTACTTGAAACCCGAACGCGTACTCCTCCCGATCGAGAGTGCAGTTTTGCTAGACTTCAGATGAACAGCAGCATCTGAACGCATCGAGGAGCCTAGTGGATCCAGAAAACTGAAGGGATGGAAGAAACGAGAAAATTGGAATGTGTGTAACTTGCCTAGGCTAATATGCGCAACGGGCCCGAAGAAACTTCCGGTAAGCGAAACAACCCCTATTAACAACGGCTCACTTATTGTAAAGAAGAAGAGCGTGCGAATCATTGCACAGGGCACTTTCAAGACCAACTCAACTAGCCACTTGCGATTGCTCGGCCGGATTTCCGACCGGCAACACAGCCCTAGACAGTGAAATAGGAAACCCAAAAATGATCCGTTTTATCACCGACCTGTTGGTTTTGACGGACTGTCGCTCGCTCTGCTCATAGATGGAAGTGAAATCCGCAGTTGGTGCCTGTCTAACTCATTTAGAAGAGTGAAACCGTTCTGCCTCTCGACTTCCCCTGTCTAGGCATGGGCAACCTGACAGTATCCCAGCCCTCGTGCTTTCTTCGGGTGGTATGGCAGCTAGGCACCAGAAGGGTGTTAGAGCTGAACGATTTTTTTCATTTTCAAAAGGTGCTCACAGTGAGTGGCGATCACGGCGGAATTAGCTTGACCTCATTGTAACCGGACTCGTCGTTTATTCTACGTTTTCTTACGAAGGTACGTGATGACGGGATCCAAGAATAGCAAGAGGTATTTGGAAATGGGCTGTCTATGGCATCTTCACACTCCTTCAAATGTTAGAGCTACGGCACGCGTCCAAGAGCCCTATGATCTTGGTATTCTTTGAATTCAAGGGTATATTTGACTCTATCGACTGGTTTGTTCTTTTCGATACGCTTGGGCAACAGGGTATACCGCAGAAGTTCGTAGGTATCATACCCTGTTTGTATTCAGATACTTGTGGGCGCGTGGGAATATATGGAAAGCTCTGTAAAAGCGCTCCTACAAAAGGTAGTATCCAACAAGAATGTCCACTCTGTCTTTTCGTTTACTTTCGTCATTAGTGCTATGATGTGGCGAACGCTGGGTCTCCGAAGCCTCCGAGCGAAATCCTTGTCGATCTGGAATAAGCAAACGATATTTCTATCATTTCTAAAAAAAGCACAAGAGGCGCAAACCTTACTCAAAAGACTGACCATTGTCATCCTGTCCTTCCATGTGTGCTTCACCCCAACAAGGTGCAAAATCATGCTACAGGACGTACAGTCTTTGAATTCATGGATTGACATCAGGGGTTGTGAAACACCATACTTATCTTCGAAGTCGAATTGGCTTTGACAATGGCGTGACAGAAGAAACGGAACGCACGGGTCTCCAAGGCCAGAATTTCATCATTCAGCTGTAGCACCCTTTTGGTGCCTAACTGCCGTGCTACCCGAAGGAAGCAGGAGGGTTGAGATACTACCAGGTCTCCCAAGTATAGACAGGGGAAGTTGAGAGGCAGAGGTCGGGTTCGAACCACGGACCTTCCGTTCAGTAAATTCGCGCTCCAACCACAGCCATCTCGCGCCGCTAGGTATCGGGCAATAGGGTTTTCTTTGGGGACCCTTTCCGAGCCGATGACTGACCTCGGCTGCCGGGAGTTGATCTAACCCATTCACGGTCAACCTTTGGGGGATCGGAGTGTGCGGTTTTTAGTGCCGACCTTTTCTAAATCGTCCTTACTCGGTGGAAGACAGCATCGTTGCTTTCATGATATGGACATGTTGGTCGCCTGGGGGAATCACCTTATTGCCTTCATACCTGTCGCAGAGGACAGTACGTCTTCACCCCCAGACCGCCCCATAACACGATTACTCGTAGTACGGGTGCTCGCTGCTCTTGGCCTGACTGCTCTCCTTTGGTATTTCTGGCATGGTTGCACCTTTTGAAGCGAATCATTGCAGCATTCAAGCCCGACAGCTTTAGGTCGGAGATTAAGTGAGTTAGCCCCAGGTCTCCTCCCTGCCGTGTTTCTTCCCATTATTAGGTTGTATTCAGATAAATTGACGGCTGCACTGCAGTAAAGCACCAGTGTTCTTATCCGGCGTTGCTGTCAGTGATGATAATGAGTATAAGCACGCCAACCAGCCGGAGGTCACGTGGCACTCCTCCACTGAAAACCTAAGGTGACCCAGTCGGTACTTTGAAAGGAGCTGCAAGTGTCTTTGTATGCGGGATCGCATTTTCGCAACTACCGGTATCGCCAATGGTGACTGCGCTTGGTAGGGCTCACATACCCCACCCTCATCCAGGCGGCTACCTGAATCAAGCTAAAAGCCTTAAGTCACCAATCAGCCCCAGGTACAGACAACAATAGTCTATAATACTAGTATATCTTACTTGCCAGACACGTCCAGGAACTTCTGGAAGCTGTTTCTTCACTGCGCCCTAGGCAGGTGGCAAGCTTGTCAGTCTCCTTTGATAAGTTAGTGAAGGATAGGGTATAGACTAAAAGGACTGATTACATACTGGTTCAGCCCGTGATCTCACCTCAGGTCGCTCACTGTCGATTCTAGACAGCATAGCTTCGGCGCCGTGCATCCCAACAGTAACTCTCAGACTCTTATCAACTAGCCGAAACAACCAGCCTGCCCAAGAAGACAAAGTTCTCGGGCGGGAATGGTATTCCTGTCGAAATACTCAGTCTGTTTGTCAGTTTTTCGGGGCTCTTCACACGACGTTGTGTTTGGTATCAGGTGTTTCCGAGAATTCGGGACATCTCAGCGTGACTCCCATTAACTAGCAAAAGGAGGCAAAGAGGCCTGTAATAACTATCGATTAATCAGTTTGGTATTAAGGTGAAGGTTTTCGCGGAAGTAGTCGTACTCTCTCACTGATTTGGGAGATTCAAAAGTAAGGTATGTCCAAATAGGGTTCAGCATATCTTGAACCATTTTGAATCCCAGGACCCAGCCCTTTCCTTCGACTTCAGTGCAATGTTTGACTCGTGACCTCATTTAAATTGTTTTGAAGGCGGATACCGTATCTGCTAAGCTGTGAGTTCCAAGCTTGTATTTGAGTTCATGGTAAGGAAACAGCAGCTGCTGAATTTGATCCTGACATACTATCGCTGGTTTTTTTAAACTTGCCTGCCTGAATATCCAACAACCTAGGCCGCAGATCCCTACTACGTCCATCTCACTGTTTTCCTGGTTTGGATATAATTGCCCTTCAGTACAATTATGAGCGCTCGGGCTAATCATTCACTGTCAGTGAACTGTTAACTGGGGGAATAGGAAATGGAGCTATGCTATGAGGGCAATAGCTTGAATGCATGAGCGTGACTAGGCCATGTCTGACAATGTCTCTAGCCATTGATAGGGCCCGTCTGGGGGTCCCCATCCGGGAAGATGGCAATGACCAGAGCAGCTGAGTTTGCTGGTAATGGCTTTTATACTTAGCTGCCAAGTCATTGTTTGACCGCCTCTGGCTCTCTGCAACCCTTTACTTAGTTGTACGAAAGGAGCCCTTCGAGGAAGTAGGTCGACTGGCATACGCACGACTGGATGTGAACTCAGACCTGGGCTTGCTGTTTATCTGCACGCGGCCACCGGAGTTTGTATACAGTGCCCCAAAACGGACCGATCGGTAGAGTCAAAAGCAGGCTTCAGCTTAGAAGAATCGACCTTTGTGCGTTCGAAAGACGCGCTGTCCAGGAACCTATCTCAGGGTACGTAGTTAATCAGTGCTTTCTTGGTGAGGGCGATACGCAGCTTGATTCCGACAACCTTGTTTCCAGATAGTCGAGCAATCTACACAAGATTTTGCCGGGGAGCACCTGAGATGCCAGAATGTTTCTCGAGTGATGTTTTTGCGCCTTTTTTAAGCCTGGAATCACGGCCGAAACACTCATCGATATTATTTTTTCGTTGGAAATCTGTATAACCCGACCTCTGCCTGTCGATTTCTGTTAAGGCACGGTCAACCTGGCAGTATCCCAGCCCTCGTGCTTCCTTCGGGTGGCGTGGCAGCTAGGCACCGAAAGGGTGTTACAGGGTCGTCAGACTGCTCATCGGAGATTCACCTTTGAAAGTGCAGTGTTCGGGCCAGGTATCCCTTCGCGTTGGAGGAATGTCTCGCGCCGAGTCTCGGTTGCCAATGGCGATCGGTCTCGGTATTTCATTCAGGTTCGTTGAGTTTATCCGGAAAGTTGGTCGGAGGGGGCCAGCTGAACTTGTTTTTCAAGTGTTCGGCTCATCGCTCGGGACGACGATTTTACGAATGGATTGTCGTTTCATATTTGCGAGTAGATTCGCAGGCGCCCATCTTTTGCCTGGTCAATCGAGTCAGCTGAAATAGGACGCGGGTGGTGCCTGCAGCAAAAACCTCCATCTCCTGGGCCTATGTCATTTTTATTCAAGTGCTTGGTTTTCATGCTTTGTAAGGGATCTGCATGAGCCGTCACAGTCGCTAGTTGCTGGTATGGCTTTTTTGACAGTTATACGATTTGTCGATCTCGACGAAACGCAGTATTTATTTGGTCAGTTTGGATGGCTTGGACGGGTAGTCCTAAAAGTTGACGGAACAGCCTCTCACTATATCCCATTCCTCATCCAAGCAGTCTTCGTTACCGGTGTGACTGTGCGTTTCCAGTGGCTTCACACTTCGAGAAATACCAGACCTCTTGGACTGTCCATAATGAACTTTTTCGGTTGTCATGAGGAAACGGTTGGTCCAAGCGCAGCAGGAGCGTAGTTTTATTTGCTAGGGATTCATAACTGCGACAGCATGGGAGTTTTCACATCCTGCATGTCCAGCTTTGCTGTTGCTCATATGTATGTATATGTAGAATGGCCTCGGAGACCAAGATGCACCGATCAGCATGCGGAACAAGGTCCTAAGACGGTATGGATTTTTAGGATTGGTCAAATCCTATTTCTATGACTCGTGGAAATTCCGGATTCGAGTCCTGATCACCTCTGAGCCGTTCTAGAGTCTCACGGAAAATGGACAGGTTATGTGCATGTAAGTGATCATGGAGAACTTTCCAGATCCTCCAACAGGTTTATGATGACCTCTGAGGTATGACCACAAGGCAGCCGTGATCAGGATCGCATGATCTATTCCAGCTCCAAATATCCAGAGTTATTTGTTCGTCAGATCATATTTGTCTAAACCTGCGGAAGCGGTCCAGCTGGCTTCCGTAGCATATCCCAAGGTGCACTCGCCGGAGCAAACAACCGTAATTAGAGATCACCTTTTTCAGGAGCACATCCGCACACCAGTATTCGACGCATAACCAACAACGTACGCTTCGCTCCACAACGCACGGGTGATGTTACTCGACGAAACGTTTGTAACAAAATCACTGAGATCAACCACCAAGTAAACTTTAAACCTGACAACTCGAGCTACCATCGTTTTCTTTTATATCAAACAAGCCGTTGCACCTCAGTATGGCCTATATTTTCATGAAGACATCGTTGAAGTGATATAAGGGATGCGATTCCCTATCATATGAAACAAGACGTGTTGTTGAATATCAAATGCCCTATTGGGGACAATTTTAAGCTTTCAGCGGTATATAATCAAAGTTTTCCCAATTTTGAGTCACCACACAAACGTGTGGACTTGTTTTGGAAAATATTAACTTTCAGTTTTCGACCTTTTCCGTCCGATAGCTGGCTTTTCACCTAACAATCTCACATTCGTTAGTAATTGTCCAGTTCAACAGCAGCGCGGTCCAGTTTGTTCATGGCCCAGGTGCAAAACCGGAAAGAATCTAATATGACTGATTCTGCCTTAATTCTTGGTTCCTCGTGCGTCGTTTGCATGTAATTTGATCAGCGTTTTTGTCAGCCTCTTTACGGTACTTTTGAGCGGCGACCTTTACTCATTAGGACCATTTACTCGTCGTGTATGTGCCATTACGTTCCTGACAACTGGGTGCGACTGACCAATCTTGCGCAAACCGCATTGTCAGCTACAGCAACCCAGACTAAACGTCATACGTTGAGAAACAATGTGAGCGTGTAACTCACACTAGCTTTTGAGCAAGCTTCTTTTGTTTTTCGGCTCCTCTCTTCGAAAACAGATTTCACTGTATCTTATGTGCAATATTCAGTCTTCACGCGCCCTAATTTTTGATTATCTAGATCCCAACCATCTGATATGTCATCAAACGCAACAACTGCACTGCTGCTTGGAGGAGAAAGGACGAGTGGAGAATCAGTGCGAAAACAGAACGGTGAGCTTATCCTATCAACTCGGCTAGGCTGTTCAGATGGATTTAAGGTGCTCTTAACCCATGAGAATTCATCCCTGAGCGTGCTGCGCAGCCCACATTTGGTTTTCGTAACCCATGATCATCCCTGAGCGTGCTGCGCAGCCCACATTTGGTTTTCGTCGACAAAAACGGTCTTTGCTTGAATCTGCCCTTGCATTAATTACGTGTAGAAAAAAGGCGACCTCACCGTAAAGTACTATGAACTTTTCCACATTTGACATGTATCAGCTCAGAAAACTAAAGTTGCTGACCATATAGTGCTACTACGAATTGGGTGATGCTGTCGTGGAAGAAAGCGTGAGTAGCTAGCACCCAGCGTCTTATCACACTGTCTTGACAATACAGTTAGGCACCAAACGGGTTTCACAGCTGTATGATTCTTTTCTCGAGTTTCATACTTATTTTGTACTTATTTTAAAAACATTTTCATGAAGCATTGTCTTTCGCTGTCTTTTATTTCAGTTTTGGCCGCTTGCTCCATTGCGAATATTGTCAAGTCCAGCTTGGGTCCCGTTGGGTTGGACAAAATGCCCGGGGATGATGTGGGCGATGTGACAATCACCAACGATGGGGCTACGATCCTCAAACTGTTGGATGTTGAGCATCCAGCAGGCAAGATTTTAGTGCAGCTTGCACAGCTACAAGACGAGGAGGTTGGTGACGGGACTACCTCGGTGGTTATTCTTGCTGCTGCACTACTCAAGGGTGCTGATGAGCTAATTTCTCGTTTCGTACACCCTACAACCATTATCAATGGCTACAGACTGGCTTGCCGTGAAGCTTGTAAATACATCCAGGAACATTTAAAAATGGATGTGACGAAGCTTGGCAAGCAGGGTTTAGTGAGTGCGGCGCGTACGGCCATGTCTAGCAAGCTTATTAATCTGTAAGTGTTTACAAGATTGCTTATAAGCTATGTTGTAGCCTGTATGCTATGGTAGTATTCGGTTTCTCATGTTATAACTGTTATGCTATGTATATGTCACTTTCATTAGAATTGATAGGTGTGCTGCCGTTGCGCGCGTGAAACTTGTGAGTTGTATAAAATGAGATGTATGTTTACAAGTTGCGTGGTCAGTGTCAGGATAATCGAATGATTTGCCTCTACTTTTGTGCACACAATCGAGGCTGATTTGGCATGATCATTAGCACTGTGCTTATCACCACAAAGTTGGGGTTTCTGAGTCGACTGGGTCAATCTGATAACCAGTATCTAACAGATGTCTGACAATCAACGATCACGATTGCACAGTCTGCTGTCCTGACAGGATTAGTTTGCAATGTGTTTTACCGCGGGTTTCGCCAGCTATTTGTCCCCCCTGCCAATGTAAGCGTCTCCGCTGCCACAAGAGACCTCGTAGACTACATGAGGGGTAGATAGGTTGAACAAACTGGGTTCATGTTTGTTCAGAGCGGATCCTCCGTTGAACGGTGTCACACGTAGGTAAGCTTCAGCATGAGTACGCTTACATTGGCAGG